AGCTGAGCTAGTAGCAATAGTCACAATATTATTAGTTGTTCCAATAAACAACAAGGTCAAGATTTTTACAGACAGCCAAGCCTATATTGGCAAGTGGAAAATAATAGAGAAAGAGGATCCCAGAAGAACTAACAGAAGATGGTTAAAAGAAAAGAACTGGTCCTTGTGGGCAAGAATGTTGGATTTTGTTAAAAAAAAAAATTTGAATCTAAAATTGGTCAAGGTCAAAGCACACTCTAATGACCCTTACAATAAAGAAGTAGATACTCTAGCAAAAGAAGTCTTATTGCTCACTGTGATCGAATGGAAGAATCTTACCTCATCTAAAATTATTACCGAAATTAAATGGTATGAAATAACTTTAGATAATCCTATAAGACAGTTTATTAAAAATATAAATAACAAAGTTACAGCTTATCAATAGACTAAATAAAACAGGATTTCAAATAAATGGAATCAATAGATTCGAGACCAATATGACTATACATGGGATTTGGTATGGGAAAGGATAAAGAATAATCACACTTGGAACACCTCCTTTAAAGATTCTTAAGAAAGAAGCTTTTTTATCAAACTAATTAATGAAGAGTTACTGATGCTTTCCAAATTGGCCATAAGAAGACTAGACCTATATAAACAAGTAGAGTGTATAGCATACAAACAACAAGCAAAAACAATAGAACACCTATTAAAATGTCCAACATATAAAACCCAATGGCAAGAAATTTGAAACAAAGAAGCTGAAAACATTCTAAAAGACTTTCGAAAACTTCTACATGAGAGAAGAAAAGAGATGGAAGAGAAGGAAATAATGCTTCTAGTTGAAGACAGAGTAGAATTAGGAGAATTGGATAAATGCATAGCCAGCCTTATAGAAGAGATTGAAAAAACAGGCCAAAATACGTTAAACTTCTGTATGGGACTAATACGAAATGATCAAATATTAAAAATATCAAATCTAAGATACTGCCAGAAAAGAATAGATAAAGAAGTCCATAAGTGGATAGTGAAGATGCAGAAGAAGATTTGCAATCAATTTCGAAAGAAGATTTAGAACAAAAGGTGCTCAAGAATAATCGAGTGGGAACAAGCACAAGAAATCTATAGAGAAGACAAAATAAGAAGGTCAGCCAGTTCATTAAATCAAAACAACAAGACCATAACTATGAAAAGATCCATACTGGAAGAAGAAAAACTTGAAAATGAAGGTCTGAAACAAATCTTTCTAGAAGGAGTAAAGTACAGAATAAGATGATTAGGATTTTAACTTTTGTCAGAACTTATAAGGAGGATCTGCAGTAGTGATCTGCAGGCAATGAAATTAGTAGTTGGAAGGGTTTTCACCTGAGCTATTAATGGAGTGATAAATCAAATCCGAAGTTGCACTTAGAGTGGTAATAATCAAAACGAGTGAGTTAATTAAAGATTTAGCTTTAGCGATTCATTTTATATGTATAGTATACTAATGTTTAATAAAGCATATATAATTAGTCTGACAGAGGGTAAAAAAAAAAAAATTTAAAAAAAAAATTAAAAAAAATTATTTGGTAAAATAAAAAACTCTTTTCATTGATCTTCTAATTGCATATAAAAAAGATGTTCACAAGAAGTTTTTACTTTTTTACTAATTAAGTTTTAACACTTTTTATAAAACAACTTGAAATTTGATTTCAAGAATTATTTTTACTCTTCCCCTATTGTTTATAAGCCTCTTTACCCAAAAATTTATCTTTCAATAATTAAAAAAAAATCAAGTAACACTTTTGATATCAATAGCAAAAAAGTTTTTTTAAAAAAAAAAATCAACTGTAAAGTATTTAAAAATCCTTCTAATCTTTAAAGTGAGATATTTAAAGAGGTCTTATTATAGTTAAAAGGTTTATTTTTTCTTTTTTAACTATTTTAATCCTTTTAAAACTTTTATTTTTACAATTTTCTAGAAATTTTATTTATCTTAATTTGATCTAAATTTTTAGTAGCACTAATTCTTATTAAAAATAATTGATTGACATGAAACATATTAATTCCTGAATTGTAAACAAGCTTCTATTAATTATACTTACATGTTTTGGTAATATCATTGATAATTAAAAAGAATATTCTAGAAATATTTGTCTTCAAAAAGCTTAAGTTCCTTAATAAAGGCTTTCATAATATCAAAAGATTAAGTGATAGATAATATAAATTGCAAACTTCTATTTTTTACTTAAGTTCCTTAGGTAAAGACAAAGTTTAATGAAAAAAAATTGAGATCTAAATACTTTTCTTGAGATATTTCAATTCAGTATTCATTTAAATAAAAAACTAATTGGATTGACTCATCCAATACTACAGATAATAAAAAAGAAAATTTTTCTAAGGTTCAAGTAAAACAAGAAGACTATTTCAATTAGGCAAATCTCTTTTGAAAAGAAATTGTTTTAATTTTTGAATTTTTTTGATGGGCTTTGAATTATCCTCTTTCTCCAATCACTTTTCCCTTCCCTTTTTTAACTTAGCAATTCATTAGTTTTTGAATCAATTAATAGTGACAAACTGTTAACAATGATTCTGATAAATAAAGATCATTATCAATCTATTAGGGAAGCATAATATTGTTTCCAAAATCTGACTTAGAGTACTTATGTATAAAGATGAATTAGTCACTTTGTGAAAGTTTGTAAACCATTATAGATTTTGTTTTAATTTCTTAATAAAGACAAGTCATCATGGCATGATTGTGAGTTAAAAAAAAAAAAATTAAAAATTAAAAAAATTATCTTTTTATATAATAAAATAATGATAAGTTCTTTGAAAAATTAAAAAAAATATTACAGATAAAAAATAAATAAGTTATTCTGATAATTAAAAGAAAGAAAAATATTTCAATAATTAGCAAAATAATTGGTAGTAACAGTTTGTTAATTAATAATGAATGATTTTGACAATTAAAGATAAAGCTTCTTTGAAACAACTAACCAAGTAAGTGAAACATTGTCTCTCAGATTAAACGTCGAGATACAGTATATCCAAGAAACTTTATAGATTTTTAAATAATTAAATTTATGACTATACCATTGACGAGTTAACTGGTTTTAAAATAGCGAAATTTAGTGGAATTCAATCAAGTGTTTACAATGAGAAAGCAATACTGTATGCTATTTTTGTCATACGCATGTGCATAAAATAAATAGCATAAATATTCCACAATATTTCATCAAGAAACTATTACATATACTCTACATAAAGTAACCGAGACCTTTATGATTATTAAATCAACATTGCTATCAACGAGGGTGTCAAGCATAGCCTATTTATAAACAGTATCACTAATCGCGAATAAGTGAATCGTCGCTTTACGGGATTTGAAAATGACACTAACTAACTTTATTCACAAACTTCACATTCTTCGAGTGCCGGAATATCTTATTGCATAAATCCTATTCGGAAGATTCTAGACCGCTATGATAAATTTACCAAGGAGATTTGGCAATCTAATCTAATAAAAATATCAGTTTGTAGAATACCCTTAATACGCACTTTTTTAATATAGGATTTACATGTGCTATTATTACAATCAAATCAAATCAGTCCGATTCACTTAATTATAATTATTAACTTCCAGAATTGTCATACTTACGTCATACTGAGTGCTGCCATTGTCTCGTACAATATGTCAATGATGTAATTCAAGAATTTGATTATGCATTAAAATAGTTTACTTACCTCCTTCTCTGCAAACGAAATAGGCAATTTATTTTTTTCGCGGGCACAGCAGAAACTTTTCTGCCGTGGTCAAGTAATCACGTGCCAAAGAAAATTAGAATTTAATTGTGATACTTTGTCACATGATAAATAACATGATAAATAGGCAAAAATGACTCCGTAAATCTGGAAACGAAATCTTTAACTCCCTTTTTCAAAAATTCCAAAAAAAAGTTTGTATTTTTTCTTTAAGATAATAATAACTCGAACATGTCTTCACGCTGGGGTGGCACTCCGCAATGTCCACGCTGTGGGAAAGCAGTGTACATGGCAGAACAAGTAAGAAATATATCTTTCCGGCATTACTTCCTTCGAATTCTAGCAGACAATAATATGATTTTTTTTTGTAGGTTATTGGACCCAATGGTCCTTGGCACAAAACATGTCTCAACTGCATTGTAAGTATTTTTGGTGAACATCAGTAATAGCAAAATCAAAGCTGATTTAATTATTCTATTCTACCTTCACAAGGACTGCAAGAAACGATTGGATTCTTTTATGCTCGCAGAACACGAAGGAGAGGTAAGCTTACACTCCAGATATTTGGATTATGCTCAACGGAATCCCTTTAAAAATGAATACACTCGTTACAGGCTTATTGTAAAACCTGCCATGGTCGTCGCTTTGGTCCAAAAGGTAGTCCTTTCCAATCAACGATTTGACTTTATTCACGGCAAATGGTTCGTCAACTAATCTTGAGAATAAAAATAAATAAATAAAGGTTATGGATTTGCATCTGGAACGTCCTTCCTTAGTACCGACAAGCCTATATCCAGAAATAGTGAGAACCTGTCGGATTCCGACAAAAGCTCACAATCTACCCCAAGGACGCCTACAAGTCCGTTGTCTCCTTCATACGGATTTTTCAGCACAAGACCTCAATCTCCAAGAGGCGCCAAACGCAGTTGGTCCCTTCCTGTAAATAATGATATATGTCCACGGTGTACGAAACCTGTTTTTGCAGCTGAAGCGGTAAGATCCATTTATGAACCGTGCGACCTTCATATTTTTAAGGGTAACACGTGACACATTTGTTTAACAGGTTCTAGGTGCTGGAGTGAAATATCACAGGTTGTGTCTGCGTTGTGAAAGTTGCCGTAAACTCTTGGACTCTACTAACATGACAGACCGAGATGGAAAAATTTACTGTCGCGCCTGTTACTCTAAAGAGTTTGGTCCCAAGGTAATTAAATGTTATGAATGGTACTAGTGTAGTTTGATATATGCGTTTTAAACATGGTTATCGTAATTAACTTTCTTTTTTATAATATGATAGGGTTATGGATACGGAGGAGGTTTGATATATAATTTAATTTGATTTTATTAAATGTTTTGAAAGTTTCTTTTATCTGATTTCGGATATTTTATTGATTATAGGTGCGGCGTTTTTAACCACAGAAGGAACGGCTTTATGAATAGAAATCATAATTTGTTTTGTTTAGTTCCATTTATCAATTAGTACAAGAACAACGGACTATTTTTTTTTTTTTTTTTCTTCTAGATTCATAATATTGGGAATACTTGTATCCGCGTGTATAATCAATTAAGAACCTTTCCTGTCCACAAATACTTAATAATAAAATTTATAAATTAAACTTTTATTAGAAGAGGTATATTCGTAAATGCTAGTACATTATATTCTATGGAAAGGAATCTTTGGGATTCTCATAAAGCTACTATCGATAGAGAAACCCTATTGAATTAAACTATTGGTACAAATTTGAAATCTATTATATTATAATATCCCTGTCTAATAACCAATCTTTTCTGAATAATATTAGAGGAAAATTTCAATTATAAATCATAGAATTATTTTACTATGAGAATTATACATACATAAAAATACGGTAAACGATTCCAAGTCATGAAATGTTCCGGCCCAGCCTTTTTACGTTTATCATTTCGCGAGGATAGGATTTTCATTCCAAGCCTATCAGGTGATAGGCCAATTGCACGAACGCAAAAATTACCTGAGAACGAAGGTAAATGAATAATTCAATTGTTGAATTCATGGGGATTGAATGTATGAAAACGACAAATGACTAACTTACCGGTTGCCACACGATGAGATAGCGCACGCCGTCCAAGAGACTGAGATAAAGCTGCTGTTGGGTGTCCCACCTGACGAACATAATTATAGATTACTACCGATTCTATATGTTAAATTATTGAATAAATAAAATTGAACCTTACGGATTGGTTTTGAATTCTTTCATGTCGACCTTTTCTTTGCTAGAGATATGTTATAAAATGCCATTGTAATTAGGCTTATTGACGAGAAATCTGAGAAAGAACCTTTGTAAAATCAATAGGATCAGTACCAATAAGGACAGATGTCTTTTTTCCCTATCAAACACCATCCACGTATACATTCGTCATGGAAGACGTGTCTACATGCTAGTTGAAAGACACGCTGCTTTCCTCCTGTTAATTGAAAAATATGCTGTTTCTCTTCTGTTAATTGTAGATCATGCTGGTTTTCCCCTGTGAGTCGAACCATCTGCTGTTTTTCCCCGACCTCGCTTGATTCAGTGGCAGCCACACCACATATGGCACATATGTTCGCTCTGAGATGTTTGCGTGGGAATCCGTCCTTGTTGTAATACCCAAGGGTAGACGTCATACTGTCGGTGCATATCTCTACAAAGTCTCTACTCAATACACTGACAGTAAAGATCAAATTAACGTGGTAATGTTGCATTAAAGTGGCAATCCATTGAAAAAAAACTCTAATTACCCAAAGTATAGTCCGTAACATAAAAGTAAGAGTCCAAGTTCGGTAATTTCGGGGCCGGAATAGATTAATTGAATGATTCCAAAGAATGTGAGCATTATAATGAAATAACCCGTTATCCCTGCGGCGTACGAAACGTTGTAAACCACGGAAAACCATTTATAAACTAATCTGGTAGAAAAGAATTTAAGGAAAAAGTCAGGCACGTATGAATCTAATGTGTGCAGGATCATTAAACGACAATTTCCTACCTCGGAGTCTTGTGGTCTAAAGGTTTCCTCGACGCCAAGTATAAGACTATAAAATCGGCAGGTAATCTTATTGTTTGTTAAAACCCTCAACGAACTTTTAAACTATAAACGGATAAGAATCAACTACCCAATGAATTTATTAATGAATAGCATGTCCAAATCGTTAAAAAACGCCAGAACTTGGCTTGTATTCCAAAAAGATACATTGGTATCAACCTTCCGAGAAGTATTTAAGAAAATCATATTCGTTACGCAAATATATATATATATCTTTTTTTTTTTTTAATGTTAACAAGTAGAATACAATCTCTTTGTACACACCATAGACCAAAAAGTGTAACTGCCTGAAAAGAACGTTGGTGTTTTTGCTTCCAGTAAAGGATCAAAAATTGAAATCCGAATAGCGCGCATAATAAAATAAGAGCCATCGCACCATGCTGCCCAGCATGTTTGTCAAGCTCAATGTTGGAGCTGCATAAATGAAAATGTACAGTATTTTGAATTTCGGACCTAAAAGGGCTATAACACTAGAATGTCCATTCACACCTTGACTCGGTTTGATTTCCTGTGTTGTTTAATGCTATTTCCTCCATCGCCGATCTAGTTTTCTAGATTTTCTAGAAAGATGTTTTGTTGTTACGCATTGCATGCATACGTTCAAATAAAGGTGTGAATTCTGATTGGATGATTCATTTTAAAGAAACTGTCGAATAATCCACCACATGTATTAACTTTCTTTGGACCATTACCAATGCTTCTTTTCGGTTTTCGCAGGTGGTCTGTACCTATTCTTGAGCCTCTGAAACCCTTTATGGTGGGAGGGGCGCTCGTTTTGTATGTTGTCAACAAAATGGAAAATGCAGGACAATCCAGTAAATTTCGGCAGTCATTATATTTTAACGTTTTCTCCACAGGATCTTCAATATCACTAATTTATGTTTGTTTATTAATACGTAGGCCCCCCGTTCGACCTGGATCCCCGTAACCCTCGAGGTATTTATACAGAAATCTACTTAAGTTTGAACGATGCAATTTAATCCATCTTTCCAATTGTCATATTCACTTGCATCTGTTTAGCACCTCTTAACATGAAGCTGAAAAGAGGACATGGGGAACATTAGTCTTTTTTCTTTTAATTAAGAATAAATCAACAATCAAATAACCACAATCCCTGCATTAAATTTTGCTTGACACCAATATCAAAATTAGAACTTTGTTGGTCAATAGAATACTTCTTAACCATGCTTGTATTGGATGGTCCGTCCAAATAAATTCATCATTAGGCTTCTATCAAGTGGCATAACGGCACCATATTAAATAATCGATGATGTCTCTAATGTTTCTTGTGCCTCTCGTGAAGTTGAACCATCGGGATTTTTTGTTTTCTTTTAACTTAGGATCGACTGGAAAGAGTGAACGAAATATCTGTCGCCAAAATTGATAGGGAGAGTTTAAAGCAACGACAGGCGTAAGCGATCTTGATTGTACGGCTTGGATGAAAGTTACAAGTTTATTTATATTCTATTCAAGCTTATAACATTGCGGATATAATTTTTTTGGTAAAGATTTTTTATGCAATGTGCAAACATATACTGACAAATAAAGTTTTATATAACTAACTACAATATACTGATTTTCACAGAAGCAATTAACTCGTCATGCACCTAAGTATTTTGAGTCAGGTTTAGGGGATGATATTACACTTTCCTAGAAAATTGGTTTAATCTCTATCTTCTAGGTTCACCATCAATAGTTTGTTATTGTTAATTGATTCAAAAAATCATGAATTGTTACGAAGGAAAAATAAGAATAAAAAAAGGAAGGGTAAATTTTCTTCAAAAAGTTAATAAAAAATAACATCTTACCTTTTCTTGAAAAAGATTTGTTTAATTGAAATATTCTTCTTATTTCAACTTGAACCTTGAAAAATATTTTTTTTATTATTATCTATAATATTTAAATAGTCAATTCAATTGATTTGTTATTTAAAGTAAATATTATATTAGGATAGTATATATCAGCCAATTACCTTTAATAAGGATTGTGTTACTTAAAAATTTAGAGCCAAACAAAATTTTTTAGAAAATTATAAAAGTAAAAGCTTTAAAAGATAAATTACAATCAAAAAAAAAAAAAAAAAATATGCTCTTTTACTATATAGAATCTTTATATTAACTTATTTTAAATATCAAAAAAATCTTTTCATACTATATAATTAATTCTTTGTTTTAAAAAAACTTTTTTATTATTAGTAATAAAAATATTATTTGATTTTTTTTAGTTATCAAAGTTAAATTTTTGAGTAAAAAAGTTTGTAAATAAAAAAAAGAAATAAAATACAGTATAGAATACTCGCTTTTGAAAAAAAAAAATTTTTTTTTATTTTTATTTATAAATAAAAATTTTATTAATTAAATATTATAAACTTTATATGTATTATATACTTTTATTAATATGATAAATAAGTTTACTTAAGAAAATTTTTAAATTTAATAATATAATTTTATAAAATTTCAAATTAAAAATAAAAAAATTTTGTAAATCATTGATTTTGAAAACATTATAAAAATTATTTAATTAAATATATTAAAAATTAAGTTAAAAAGAATAAAATTTTAAAAATATTATATTAAAACTATAATAAAAAATATATTCTTTTTTTTTTTTTTTTTTACCCTCTGTCAATAATAAAAAATATATTTTCCATCCATAAAAAAATATATAAAATATACATAAAATTATCTATAAAATTTGTAATATGTTTTTTAAAATAGTTTTTTTAAACTTTAAAATAAACTTTAAATAATTTTTTAGATTCTAAAAAATATATTTTAAAAAAATTTCCAAAAGCAAGTGTTCCACACTGTATAAATGACTTGAATTTATTGCTTCATTTTATTGTAATATGCGTCACGTGAGGAGCAATACTCGAGGAAAGAATATTCAGTTAGGGAAAGACGCGTCAGCGTTTATTCGTTCTTGATCTTGGGACACCCGTCGTGAACTTTCTTCGAATACCTTCTTTTTTTCGTTCATGGAGTTAACCAAGTTTACAATAGTCTGATTTTGAGAATTTAGGGAGGTGTGCACGCGAACTAACGTTTTTGTCTCGGTTTGAAGTCTCTGGAGTATAATAGAAAAAGAAAGTGTTTCAGGTAAGTTTACGATTCGGTCACCATATCCGTCAAAAGAATTCTGTATGATAACTTATGGAAATTCAAAAGAGGCGCATAAGGATCCATTAATCGTTCTTGGAATTTCGGTGATGACCTAAATGGTAAATACATATCAATAGTCTAGCTACAGTCACGTGAAAAAAATTTTTTTCTGATCTTTTAATTGAACAATACGAAGTTTCGAGCTTCTCCCTTTGTTGGAATAAATGAGTGTCCTCAATCACGCTTCTCGACGTCCAATACCAAGAGGTTTAATTTTCATTCTCGAAATTTTTGTGATAAAATCATCATACATCATGGTCTCTTCTTTGTCATTCATATTTTTTTTTTAGACGAGGAAACGCGAACAAAGGCGCTGAGGGTTATTGACGCTCAATTTGACCTCGAAATACTGTTACGTCATCGTGAGCTGCAAAAAATTGAAGAAGAGCTAAAAAAAGCCGAATTAACCCTTGGAACTTTGAAACACTGCATTTTGGAACGTGAGTACACAAGTTTTTCTAATTCATGTTTTCATGCAAATTGTAAAACGTGAGAACTCATTATGAACAGCTCCCACTTGCACCAACAAAGCATCGATCCGCGAAACGACAACTCCCAAGGATTTAGATTCCACCTCGAAATCCCCTTCGACACGTCATTCGACACGTAAAATCTATTCTACCAGAGATAACGATTATTTTTATTATGATCCATGCAAAGTTTTATATTCACGAAGAAATGACGGGATTTTTGTTAGGTAAAATAATAATAATAATAATAATAATAATAATACGCTGAATATTTTACAATCGTAAACCAAAAAAAAATTTTTTTTGCTTATTTTATTTGATAATTCACATACAGGCTGTCATGTCCGCAGTGTCATCGCGCTAAATTCATTAATGTCCAAGGCTTTCTCAATCATTGTCGACTCTCACATAAAATTGAGTTCCCCAACCATGAAGAAGCCCTTCTCAATTGCGGAACTCCAGTGGTATAATGATTATAATATCAAGAGTTAATTTTAATATCCGAATCATCGATTCTTAATCTAAAACAGGGTCTAAAAATTTTGTCTAGGATGAAAGTTTGATCCCCCCAGAGCATCCTGCAAGATCAAGAATTATCACAAGACCGCCATCACTCCGAACTATATTGGGGCAATCAAACCTGACGGACAATCGTGCAAGGTAAATTTCGATGTTTCGGAGGTGTATTCGAAAAGAAAAAAAAAAAAAGGATTCGTTACATTAATGTTTTAATTTATCAAAATTAGTAAGACCAGGGTATGTGTGACTTCACATCAGTATTGCGAAGATTTTCTCTTTAAAACCTATATGTTGACGGAAAGATACTGGATTTTAAAATTAATAGCCCAAGATTAAAGTATTCGAAGAGGAGATCGATGTTGAGTTAGAAGAATTACCGCACATAGGCGCGAAGAAAGATTCTAGTGTTGATTTAACAAATTCGCGATCGTTCAACAATAAAGAAGCTATCACCCAAACCAAAAATTTATCGTCAACACTATCGCATAGTAAATCCCCGGAGAAGTGTTTGATGCCTACATTCCCATATGGATCGGGTACAGATAATTCTACTGATATTGATGATGGTGATGATGAAATTGGTACTATTACAACTGATATGGATTTCTTACCTTTACATAAGTCAATATCATCACATTATCCGGATGACCGAAGTCAAATGAACAAGACGATTGGAATCATTGAAGATAATTCCTTATCCCCAATATTAACGAAAAAATCTCTGCTAAGGAACGACCCATCGTCTAATGTTAGCGATACCCAAAGGGAGACTAATGATTCTGAGGATATGCGAAGTACACAGTTTAACTCCCCAATGGACATTGATACCTACGATATGGTTACGGAGGAACCGCGGGATGAATTATCAAATAGAACGGCAATAGACATGGGAGCCTCGTGTTCTCGTGAGAATGACAATGCGATATTTAAGTCTGATGATAGATTGCCAAATTTTGAGTCTTCCGCATTCACTATGAAAATTCCAAAGGAAACAAACATAAACACAGAAGTCACCACGATATCCGCAGTACATACAATACCAGCACGTTCTAGTGTTTTTGATCCGATAGACCATGGATCACGATTTTATGTTAAAAGACGTATTGTCGTTGGGAACGTTTCAAAGTGGATCGCCCCAGAAAAAAGGGATCCAAGTTTACAAAAGTACACGCATAAATGGATGGTTTATATTACGGGTCCCCCCTACGACCTGGACATTTCTCCATTTATACAAAGGGTTCGTTTTTTCCTTCATCCAAGCTATCGCCCTGTGGACGTAGTTGATGTAACAGAACCACCTTTCCAACTCATAAGATATGGATGGGGTGAGTTCCCGATGAGAATACAACTGGTCTTTGTGGATAAGAAGAATAGACCTGTGGATATAATTCATGTGCTCAAGGTTTGATGATTAATTATCTTTCTTTGATATTCTTATGGCGGATTTGCATTCATTTCGACTTTTACCTGACACTCTATATGCGTGATGCATAGCTCGATGAAACTCACAATGGAAAACAACAACTAGGTAACGAGCGTGCATTTGATCTAGAATTGGATCGAAATACACATTTCATCTCTCCTAGACCTGAAAACCAATCGCGACACAGAGTAGCCAAAATCAAAAATAATCCTCAACGAGGATTATCTGATGTGAACCATTCTTCTATTGATTCGGGTACCGAAAATTCAATACATAAAGAACAAGACGATTTTGACACTGATAACCTGAAAATATTAGAATCATTGTTGATTGAAGCAGTTCAGGAGTATCCATTAATTGTCTCTTCATCCTCGCGTTCAATGTCCCTTTCTTATTCAACTGCAACATCCGCGAGAATGTTCCTCAATTGGGATAGCGAACTTCGTAAAAAAACGGAATTGCATAGGGCTCGTCTAATACGTTTACGCGTTCTTTTATTAGCGCAAAAAACGAATGACTTAAAGATCATACAAGCCGCGGCTTCCATAACCGCAACGCAGGTTATTTTATGGTGCAGAGATAAAGGTTATACGCCCATAGATTGTAGTCCTATTTATTCAAATTCTATAACAAATGATAGTTCTACAAATTCCCACTTTCCATTTGAAAAAATTCTGCCGGCAACTACTGCGCCAACGGTTCCTGCTTGGTGTAAGTGTTGTGGTTGTCCAGAGTCTTGGCATGAAACTTCTGTTTCCAACTCAACTAAAAATGTTGCTGTGCCTCTTCCCCCTTACAAATGCAAGAGGAGACCTCATTTTCTAGAAACTAAAAAGACAAAGTTGCGAAGTTTGACAATAGCACGAGATTTCTTGGATGAACTGATGACTCAAGACAAAGTTGATCAAGGTATGATTTTTTGATAAATTAAACTCATTAGTCTTTCTTTCATTTGCAAACGAGATTTGTGTTGATGCAAAACTATTGAATGGTAGGTGAAGGGATGATGAATGTCAAAGATGCTGGTATCAATAATTCTCTCAATCTCCAATTTGATGATATCCTAAATATTGATTCAAATAAAGACACAAAAGAATTTGGAAATTGGTATAAAACGGATATATCTGATCCCCAAGGGATCGATTGGATCTGGAATGTAATCAACCAACTTAAATTGAGTGGCGTAGCGGCCACCAAGTTAATGTGTAACAGCGACGGTGAAATTCTCGTCGAAAATGGTGACGTCGATGCTGCCATAACACAACGCTTGGAAACTGGAAACCTAATTTTTCAGGTAACCTTTGAGTCGAGATAATTTCTGTGTTTCCTTGAACGAATGTTTAATATATAATATTTGTATACAGTTGGCGAAAGTATTTTTAAAAGATCTGATAAAAAAATCGATAAAAATTCATAATGCAGAATTACTCGATGATCCATGTACTTCCGACGGTGAAGGTTCTAAAAGTTTTACACCCGATGTTCGTAGTAATTCATATTTACGGCAGTCAAGGAAATTGCTTGTTCCGTATCATTTATATCAGGCAATACAGGCAAACTTGGATACTTTTGATTTTTTGAATGGTGAAGGCTTGGCTTCTAATAGAAGTAATAACAAGGAGAAGTAAAATAATAAAAATCTAACGAAAAATTTCATTCATTCGAATCTCATACTCCGGAACGAAAGATTAGCTTTTATACTATACAGGGATGATTACGTCACGTGAATAACATTTATCTTTGTTCGATACTTCTATAAAGTTAATCACATGATAAAACAAACTTCATTCAGCAAAGTTTGGTGAAAATATTATTTCTCTGTTTATTCAAATATTTTTTTTTCTTTCAAATTTTAATTTATTCATCTAAATTTCGCTTGTACGTATATTTTTATTTAAAATTAAACTTGTATATATATTGCTAATTTTATAATCTATAATCAAATTAGATTAAAAATTTATTAATCAAAATTTTTTTTTTTTTTTTTTAATATTAACCCGTTGTCAGGTTAGTTATGTGTGCTTTATTAAACATAATGTAGGCTATACTATTTACAGTGTTGCTAAAGTTAGAACGCTAACTAACTCACTCATCTTAGTTTATTATCAAACTCTAAGTGCAACTTTGGGAGTGATTTGTTGCTCCGTTTATAG